CGATTGCTATGGTAAGTGGTTGGAAAGGTTTAAGACACTTGGGGCTGTTGACATATGCAGTCTATATAGCAGTTTAGCTCCTCCCATTCAGCCTACAGCAGTTTAGCTCCACCCATTCAGCCTACGGCAGTTTAGCCTCACCCATTCGGCCTACGGCAGTTTAGCTCCACCCATTTGGCCTACGGCAGTTTAGCCCCACCCATTCGGCCTACAGCAGTTTAGCTCCACCCATTCGTCCTACGGCAGTTTAGCCCCACCCACTCGGCCTACGGCAGTTTAGCCTCACCCATTCGGCCTACGGCAGTTTAGCTCCACCCATTCGGCCTACGGCAGTTTAGCTCCACCCATTCGGCCTTCGGCAGTTTAGCCCCACCCATTCGGCCTACGGCAGTTTAACTCCACCCATTAGGCCTATGGCAGTTTAGCTCCACCCATTCAGCCTACAGGAGTTTACCTCCATCCCTTCAGCAGTTTAGCTCCACCCAAATGGGTTACAGCAGACAAAAATAAAATGCAAGAAAAAAATGGAGAACATGGGCCCTTCAATAGACCCTCTGAGACTGATATATGTAAATAATCTCTGTTCTGATTGGCTGCCCTGTATTGTGTCATTTAAACAGCAGTCAGAAACACTCCTTATAACTTAAGTGTGAGTGGGCGGGGCTACACTGCTGAGGGCTGAATAAGCAGATGCATATATATATATATATATATATATATATATATATATATATATATATATATATATATATGCTGGTTTTTATGACATCACAAAAAAGCATTGAATTGCAGCTTTGTTTTTATATATGGAACGAAGACTAAATGGTACATTTTGCAACTTATAATAATGTTTGCACACCAAATCAGCATTTTTTTAAAAAGTGAGTAAATTTGGTTTTTGGGCCTTTTAATTGACATGCAGTTTCGACCTTTAGTAAGGACGAATAAAGCAAAACGGCTCACTTAAAATATCCTGTATATTACATTGCTCAGGGACAAAAAAAGGCCACTGCGTCACTGAGAGAAAGTGAGGATGAATCATCTTGTCCCTTTTGAGTTACATGAGATGCCCAATATGGCAGGGAGAAAGCAGTGGAGACCTGCAGGGGTCCCGGAAGATGAATGACGGCGTGACAGCCGGCGCGGCAGAAAGAGCAACTGTTTGTCTGAGCTGGCTGCTGAATGAGAGGCGAAGTCACTTCCTTCGAAGCACAGGAAGCGTCCGAGGACAGCTGCAAGGAGCCGTGGCGCAAGAAACTCTCTCTATCTCTCTGTCTCACTCTCTCTGTTGCCATCTGTCTCCCTTTCGCCCCCGGGCTAAAATAAAACCCAGGCCTGAACGACTAAATATATTCACACCCTGACAACAACTGGCTGCTTTGACACGGCTACGCGGGGACGCCCCGAACGAGCCGGACCACTGACCCCAAGAGTTTACAGACTGACCCTGGTTGTCCATTAAATCGGGTCTCCCTTCTCGGGGGGGTGCAGACGTGAGAGGTTATTTTCAGTGGCTTTAGTAGCCATAGCTTTATTACAGCCGGCTCAGTCTGTAAAGTCTCACGGTCATGAACCTCTACAGACTGACTGACACAGCTTTTACCTTATTAAAGTGATAGTTTGTTGAAAATCCAAATGTACACAACTTTCCCTCCTTATCAAATTTAGCCAGCCAGCTAAGACACGTTTGTTGTCTGAAGTTTGCTTCTTTGGTTTTAGCCCTGAAGCTACGAGGCTAACATAGTTACGTAATGGACGCTTATAGTCACCAGTTAGCATGGTGCAAACTGTATCTCCAAATCAACATGTACTCGCCTTAAACTGTGCCGAGCTGTTACAGAAACACTCAGACCGAAAAGAAAAAAGTAGCCATCACTTCATCAGTTGTAAACACGCCTAGTCACATCTTACAGCGGTGCTGCAGTACAGTCCAGAGAGAGATTTTCCCATTTAAAGGCTAGAAACCCACCTTCTGATGATGTATCTTGAAGGTGGGAGTAACTGTTGAAAAACTACAACTGCTTTTGTGGATTTTCAGGGATTGTTTTGATTTTCTTCCATTTCTTTGTTAGCTGCTGAGCTGCAGATAGCTACCGTTAATGCCAGGAAGCTGAATATCTTATTTCAGCTGTATAAATGTATTAACTTCCTCTCTACGCTGGAGAGAATTCTCAGTCGACAGAAATGACAAATGAAGAAGACAAGAAGCTAAAAAATAAAGTTAGCATGGTCGCTACCTGGCTATCTATAACTCTTATTACAGTTTGGCTCCATTTCTCTGACTGAAAATTTGCATCTGGTGTCCATTTTGTGCTAAATAAACTTAGAATCGCTGTTTTCTTCACAGTTTTGTTCAACAACTTAGGTAATGCTAGCTAATGTTAGCTTAGGTGTATGTATTAGCCTGTAGATCAGTGGCTAGGCTAGCAGTCAGGACTGACTGACACCACAGGGATTTCCATAGTATTATAGTGAGAAAACACTGAAAAAACAATGGAAAACTACAGAAATACTATGAATTCTGTCAAACTGATGAATTCAGTGACATGAAATACCGCATAGCTCGATAAATGACATTAAACTATTGTTTTAACCCCTCTAAATTCTCAAATTGACTTGCTAATGTGGTTTCTGACACTGTATGACACACTGTTGCCTGACAGAAGCACATTAGCATTGCTAAAAACAGTAATAGCCATCATGAAACATATATTTTATTTACATTTTTTTCCATATTTATAAATAAAAGAGTCAGAATCCAGATGCAAGTTGTGTGTGGTGATTTAAGCATGTAGTTAGCCTGCTAGCTGGTGTACAGAAGCTTCCATTAAGTTAGCTACATTAGCCTTGTAGCTAAAGAAGCTAACTTCACACACCAAACATGTTTTGGCTGATCAACTACACTTAAGACGAGCAGAAAACTGTGAATTTGCTTGTTCACCAAACGGTCACATTAAATGAGGTCTCCCTCCTCAAGAGACGTTATTTTGAGTCGTCTTCATGGTCGCGTTCACAGGGGGGTAAAGCAACTTTGACATTAGGCGGTTTCTCCAGGGGGCCCCTTCAGCTCTAGCGTGACTTTTTGACCTCGAATAAAGCCTAACAACTCAAATACAGCCATTTCATCTACCGTCCAACGCCACCAGTGAACCTACACTTGTACAAGGAGAGCGTAATAGTGGTAATTCCACAAAAATATGTTATTTATATCTCAAAACTACTGCAAAACAGTGTCTCAGGCAGTGAATTCACAACCATTTCGCGTAATAACTTTCTGTGAAGGAGCTTTTAAAGGTGGACGTCTGGTTCCTATCACCACCACTGTGAACAATTCTGACTCTGTAAGTTTCTCTAGAACAGAGAGTTTCACACCAAACCACTCTGAATGACTCTGTTTACATCTTAACTATTTATTTAGACAGGAATTTTGGAAAATTGGTGGAGTTCCCCTTTAAGTGTAACCAGCTGGGAAGAGGATTCAGACTCTCACAGAAAACAGACACTGAAAACTCTCACTAGAAAGCCCACCGAGTGTCATGTTACAGCCGTCTGAATGACAGGAACATGTGCGTTTTTGTCTCTGCCCCTCGACAGTGATGATAATAACAGGACTTGACTGAGACACCACTAGAAATTCTGTTTATAACAGAGTTCATCGGGGCCAAACGCCATTTCTGTCCACGAGAGTCACTTCATCCAAACTTAAGCCGGCCTGTTTAAACAAGGCAACTTTACTGCTACACCATAGTGAAATCATGAAATCAGGCGCATTAATAGGGAGGTTGTGCCCCATTTTCTGTAGCATTTAAAGGAGAATTCCACCAATTTTTTTTAAAATTTCTACATAATTAAATGGTTTAAGATGTAAACAATGTCATTCAGAGTGGTTTGGTGTGAAATGCTCTGTTCTAGCGAAACTTACAGAGTCCGCATTTTTCACAGTGGTGGTGATAGGAACCAGACGTCCACCTCTAAAAGCTCCCTTATGGAAGGTTATAGCACAAAATGGTCAGAAATATTTTGCATGGTTCTTGGCGGAGGGGTACACGCAGGGTGTCATGAGGCAAAATAGTCCCTTATTGTTTTCAGATTTTCTATCTATTTTATATTCCATATAAAAACTATAAAAAAAAATGTAAGTTCACTGGTTTTGGATGGTAAATAAAATGGCTATATCTGTGTTGTAGTCATGGCGACCCCTGGTTCCTATCAGCACCACTGTAAAGAAACCTGAGCCTCTATATTGAGCCATTTACATCTCACGCACTGAATTATGCGGAAATTTTGAAAATTTGGTGGAATTCCCCTTTAAAGGAATAGGCCTGGAAGAACATATTTACAATATGCTGAATAATGGAGGGTTTTTTTTTTATTATTCTTTAAGACGTAGCAGCACCGTATCAGTAAATCTCATCTGAGTTTCCGTCAGTGTATTTTCACTACAATACCCAGCATGCATTGCTCAAATACAGCACATAACCATTGGGAATCCCACAGGAAGGTTAGCTGTCTGGCTTATATATATATATATATATATATATACATAAGACAAATATCAGAAGCTCCTCCCACCTTCAAGATGCGTCATCAGGAGGTGGGGTATAGTCTTTTACCGTGAAATTCTTGCTCTGGGGACGATTGCAGCACCGCTTTAGGAGGTGAGTGGGCATATTTTCAACAGATGTGGATATAAATCACATTTTTAATTTTGTGCGAAGTGCCTCTTTAAAAAAACCGCCACCTGTCAGTGGACAGTCCACTCCACAGTGGACACGACGCTCACCAACACAGTGTTAGTCACGTTTTTTGTCAGGAAAGTGAAGATAGTAGCTATAAAAAGCAGTTAAAATTCATTCAATCGCGTTTTATAAAGCTTCTTCGAATTTTCCCGTTCCACCTTAAATGGTGCAGCAGTTACATTCTGGCGCCCGAGGCGCCAGAATGTAACTGCTGCACCATTTAAGGTGGAACGGGAAAATTCGAATAACTTAGCAACATACCTGGTAAACCACAGTCCGCGCACACTTCACTGCTTCTCCCCCGTTTAGACATGATGTTCTCCTCCGGTTTTAATCACCATTCAACCCCGAACTGGACCTCTAAACCCTGAAACTAACATTCTGACCCACATTACAGGGCAGCTCGCATCGATGGAGGAGCGTACGGCGCTCGGAGCCGAAGCAAACCGCGATCCTGTGGAGTTAAAGAACAACTAAAACTAGCTAGAACTGACGCGGATCCACAGAACCCCCTCCAGCAGCGTCTGAACGCCCACAGACCAGCTCAGCAAAGCTGCCCGACTCGAGATGCACAGCTGCGGAAACTCTACTGAGGAATTTCAGCTCATCTACAGCAGCGAGAACCCGAGACTCTCTCTCTCTCTCCAAGTCTCTCTCTATGTCGCTCTCTCACTCTCTCTCTGCACAGAAGCCGTGCAGCGCTATCTGCAGTTCATAGTGCACATTACTGGTGAGCCCTGCAGCTCTCCGTGTCTTGGAGGGTTTATTTTGCGATGCAAAACTCTTAAAGGGGCACTTTGGAGTGAATGAGAAATGAAACCGTGTTGCTGTATCTGTTGTAAACATGACTATTTGCCTCCTAAAGTGGTGCTGCAATAGTATCTCGGGTGAGATTTCCCAGTTTAAAGGCAAGGACCCCCCTCCCCCACCACCCACCTTCTGATGATGTATCTTGAAGGTGGGAGGAGCTGAATGATGCAAAAGAAATACGTTGCTCCGGTTTGCAGAGGGGGCTTTAAAGGTGTGGTATGCAAAACTACGCCAGGCGCTCCGCAAGGGACACTTGTCGCTATTGTTGTATCCGAGGAGACAACAAGGTGAGTAGCGCGGCGATACACAGTGGAGGAGCTAGTGGCTCTCAAGCGAGCGGCAGCGGAGCGACTGGTGATGTAGGAAGAGGGGACATCGTAGCTATGAATAAGCCAGCAGGGAAACGGAAGATCAGCCGCTGCCGCAGGCCGAGGGTCAAGTGCAGCATAAACAGCAGACGGCTCACCACGCCCATCAGCACGGGCTTGTTGATATCCCTGTTATGGCCAGGCGTGCTCCTGCACTGTGGCACACCAGACGGCTGGGAGGGGACCAACATCCAGCTCAGGGTAGTCACCGACAGCTGGGTCCACCTGGGAGGGAGAAGCGGTTCCCGGTCGGGGCTCCTGGGCGCACGAGCAGCACCCTCACCAGTGTCGATGGCACAGTGGACAGCGGAGGAAGCGTAAGTTGGCTGAGAGGAGCCGTTGTGCCGTTGCCCCCAGTTGTGCCCCCAGTTGTGCCGTTGCCCCCAGTACCACCAGACCTGACACTGTGAGCTGTGAGGAGTTCTGCTGGCGTGCCAATAGATAGGATGCCCATGGAAGTGCAGTCCGCCGTCCCACCAAAGGTGGCACTTGTGCCAGCCAGGACTCCGCACACCCCAGGAACTTGGTTCGAACTGTGTAGGTCGCCAGGACGGCTGACCTTTGAAGGAGGGGCTATGTGGCTATGTGTGCTGAAGGGGCTTTAGAGGTGTGGTATGCAAAATTACGCCATGCACTACACCTCCCCCTCCGCCCCCTTGAAAGGACAGTGCTGTGCTGTTGTTGTTGTTTGTTGGTTGAAGGTGTCTGTACGTGTTTATTGTATGTCATTGTGTTAGGGGGTTTAGTTAGGTGGGCTGAGCATCCACCATACAAAGGAAGTATAGGGTTCATGGTGACCTCCCCCAACGCCCCATTAGATTAACTGTTGATTGTCTATATGTTGGTGTAATTAAAAAGGACACTTCTCATGGCAGAAATAATGGCCTCTGTCCCGCACCATCTTTTACATCAACACCATTATATTTACATTATTATATTATATTTACATTATTATAATATTATTTTATTATTATTATATATTCCTGACATATATTCAAACATTAAAAAGTGACACTATGTAATCTGCATGTGCATATACTTTAATATATGGGTCAATGCATGCATATATTGCACATATATTTAATTTAATATAAGCAAATTTATCATCTCTATTTATTAGCCTCTGCATTAGTGATTATGCTAACAGTTCACAGTGCATGCTGGGTATTGTAGTGAAAGATAAAAGATGGATGAAAACCCAAAAAGGTACAAAGTCGTGAATTTTGTCAAACCGATGAAATTGGGGGATGCAGTGCTGCACTAAAGAACACTGTACAACACGTCAATAACACACTACATTCTAGTTTTAAGCTGAAATGCCCCTTTGAGCTATTTTAATGCAGTGTAAGTGTTCTCACTCGCCCCCTATTAGAGACATAGTGCACTATTTAGAGTGAAAGCCATCGCCTTGAGATCTGCACATGCACAGTAGCCAGAAAGACCAGGGAAATACATGGCAAGGCAAACTATTTATGCATTTTCCTACTTTTTGACCCTTTTGTAGCTCGCTAATGTGTTGAAAAGTGAACTGTGTAGCTTTCCCTACATAGGGCGTAGGGAGCAAGTGCTCGAGTGACTCATTTGGAACACACACAAAACGCACAAAGTACGAAAGTACCAAAATTACAACACTACATGAAACGGTTTGCATTTTGTCCACACTGTGAATGTCAACTCGATTCCAGCACCGCAGCATTAAAGAATTTTAAATAATGTGAAATAGTCTACGACTGAAAATAGGTTAAAAACAACATGTGCACCCCCCACCCCTATGAAAATGGTCCAGTCCAGCCTGCATCGTGGAACGGACCATTACGCTGACGCTCGTTTTTACTTTCTGTATTAACGTTACCGATTATATAAAAAGAAAGTGCGGAAAATACTTTTCTTTAGTAAGTGAAGTAACGTTGTCACACAGTGTTATCACTTTTACTGGAAGCTTACGCACATTTTTTTCTCCACCTCGCTCCCCTGTTTTCTCCGATAATGGTCTCGACCTGTCACGTCCTCGTTTGTTTGTACAGAAGTTTTATTTTGGAAAAGTTCCTGTTAGGAAATGAAGCCCTGCTGAGCGGAATAACGTTATTTTTTACATTTAAATCAATGTGGAGAAACGTTAAGGATATTCGCTTTGGGTTTAGCAGCGGCAGCTTTTCGTGAAGGAAGGAGGAAAAGGAGGGAGAGGAGAGGAGAGGAGAGGAGAAATGTTGAGCTGCACTGAAGACTCTGAGGATTTCAGGCTGAAGTTTCCTCTGCACTGCCTGGTGTGGGAGAATGACTACAGGAGCCTGGAAAAGGAGCTGCCCACGGTACTAAATCCGCTCTAAACGCGGAGCTTTACTACTTGTTCTTCATTTAAGGCCTTTAATAACTCTTTTTAAGTACAGCTAGCCCCTTTAGCACGAAGCTAAAGTCTCAGTCGCCAGCTTCTTTTTCGAACTTCCCCGTTCCACCTTAAATGGGGCAGCAGCTTCATTCTGGCGCCTGAGGCGCTATAATAGCTGCTGCACTATTTAAGGTGGAACTGGAAAGTTCGAACAAGAAGCTGTTAGCCGGTAGTGTTGTTAGCGTTAGCTTTAGCTTTGTTGGGGAGGTCAGTAAGCTGGCTGTACTGTGAAGACTGACTGTTATAAATGGAGTTTAGTTGTACAGAAATATTAGAGATTAAGGTCAAATATCCGTTAGCTGGATAAGAGAAGCTGGGCTGCACAGTGTAAACAGAGGCATTCAGTCGAGCTAATACCTTTTAGATCAGTCAGTCACATTAAGATTAACGATATTACGAAGTAACATTACCAGTAGTTTAGCAGGACCCCCACACAGCAGGGTGGTGGATCATCCTCAGCAGTGACACTGACGTGGTGGTGGTGTGTTAGTGTGTGTTGCGCTGGTCTGAGTGGATCAGACACAGCAGTGCTGCTGGGGTTTTAAACACCTCAGTGTCACTGCTGGACTGAGAACCAGAAACATCCAGCCGTCCTGTGACCACCGATGAAGGACTACAGGATGACCAACACAAACTGTGCAGCAGCAGATGAGCTATTGTCTCTGACTTTACATCTACAAGGTGGACTGACAAGGTAGGAGTGTCTAATAGAGTGGACAGTGAGTGGACACAGTGTTTAAAGACTCCAGCAGCACTGCTGTGTCTGATCCACTCGCACCAGCACAACACACACTAACACACCACCACCACATCAGTGTTACTGCAGTGCTGGGAATGATCCACCACCCAAATAATACCTGCTCTGTGAGGGTCCATGGGGGTCCTGACCACTGAAGAACAGGGTGAAAGGGGGCTAACAAAGTACACAGAGAAACAGATGGACTGCAGTCTGTAACTGTAGAACTACAGAGTCCTCCTATGTGGTCAGTGGAGCTGATAAAATAGACAGTAAGTGTAAATACTAGAAAGTGGTTTCAGTGAAATGGCCAATTAGAGTATATTAGGGTAGCTACATCGAGATCAAGTTGCTCATACACTTGTAGATCGGTTCAGTCAAATCCCTTTAGATCACCTACATTAATATCACACTCATACAGCCACACATGAGCCTAAGGTCACCGTGCCCAAAGCTAAGCGAGGGCTAGAGGGGTATAAAGGCCCCCAGCACTGGGCTGTGGAGCAGTGGAACTGTGTTCTCTGGAGTTATGAAGCTCCATCCATGGTTTTGGAGTTCTACCAGTCTTGAGAGTTCACATCCAACACACCAACTAATATTCAGAAGCCCCTGAAGGCCTTCATTACCCGGATCAGGTGTGTTAGACTAGGGTAAACTCTGAAGGGTGGTAGATCTCCAGGACCAGGACTAGGCTCCCCTAAGTTGGAGCGGACCAGAACTGATCATCCAACACCAGTATCTGACCCCACTAATGCTCTTGTGGCTGAATGCAATCAAATCCTCACAGCAATGTTCCAACATCTGCCTTCTCAGAAGATTAGAGGCTGTTACTAAAGCAAAGGTGGACAAACTTCCTATTATACCCTAAATTTCAAAAGAAACACTGGATGAACAGAAAGTGCAACCAACTTCTGAGACTGAACTTTGGAGGTGTGTCTGCAGGTTTCTTTGAGAAGCTGTAAGCGAGTCTCATGGAAAGAATGGAAGCTGTAATAAAGGCAAAAGGAGAACACTAGATACTGGAAAAAATGACATTTTCTGTGGTTTCCTGTTAAATATATATATATTTTTTGTGACACTGAAAAATAAATAACTTGTACTTAATGACTTAATGTTTTCACTGGAAATGAAACAAAAGGGTCTCTGACTTTTACCCAGTTCTTTAAGGTATGTTTAGTTATTTTTAGATTCATCACCTGATGATTGTTGCACTATTCTGTGAAGTAAACACATGCACTTTTGTTTCTGTTTGGGTTACAGCATAACGTAGAGGAGGTGGACCCCCGAGGCCGGACCCCGCTACACCTGGCCGTGTCACTGGGACACCTGGAGTCTGTCAGAGTGCTGCTGAGACATGGCGCCGAGGTGACCAAAGAAAACGCCAAAAACTGGACTGGTGGGTGTCACACAGAGAGTTCAGGCACTGTTGTAGGTTCATGTCAGTCGTCACAGAATAGTGAGGTATTTCACTGTAAGGGTGTGTGTGTGTGTGTGTGTGTGTGTGTGTGTGTTGTGTAATGAAAATAGTTGACATTGTTAAAAGTTGATGCATTAAGCTTAAAATGTTGACGCTCGTCTGTGCAGAGCTACAGAAAAGATGTTACCCTGTGGGGAAAAAAAATGGCTAGCAGAGATGGAACTGAACAAAGTCCACTCGATTAAAAGGAATTTCTGTATAATTCAGTGTTTGAGATGTAAACAGAGTCATTCAGAGTGGTTTGGTGTGAAATGGTTGATTGTAGAGACTCAGATTTCTTTATAGTGGTGGTGATAGGAACCAGGGGTCACCATGACTACAACACAAATATAGACATTTTATTTACTATCCTAAACCACCAGTGAACCTACACAAGTCTTCTGAGTTTTATATGAAATACTGATGAAGGTAAAATAGTGATAAATCTGAAAACAAGTTTTCTTTTGTCTTTCCTCACAACATCCTGCATGTATCCCTCCACCATGAATGGATTTTAACATACATGTTTTGGACCAAAACTTTCTCATAACTGTAGTAAAACAGTGTCTCAGACATCAGACAGTGAATTCATAACCATTTCGTATAATACCTTTCTGTGAGGGAGCTTTTAGAGGTGGACGTCTGGTTCCTATCACCACCACTGTAACCAATACTGACCCTGTAAGTTTCTCTAGAACAGAGCGTTTCACACCAAACCACTCTGAATGACTCTGTTTACATCTTAACCATTTATTTATGCAGAAATTTTGGGCGTGGAGTTCCCCTTTAAGAATCAGTTCAGGGCCTGGATTCATGAATGCTTTCTTAAGAAAAATCTTGCGAAGGTTCTTCAGACAAACACTAGAAAGTTCAAAAAAACCTAAGAAGCTGTCAAATATTCTCTCAAGATGATCTAAATTATTTTCTTAAGATTTTCGTGAGTAAATCTTCATTATTTTCTCATACAAGTGTGAGTCTGTCGTAAGGTTAAGAAAACATTTAAGAAGATAATATTTTCAAGAATACCACGTCTTCTTAAAATTAATCTTAATAAATATAGTTAAGAAAAGAAAATGAGGTAATTCTTAAGAAGTTATTTGAAGAATAACAAATTTTCATAACTTTTTTTCCTTAAGAATAAAGTTATGAAAACACACATTTAAGAAGATTTTCTTTCTTAAGATACTTTCGTGAATCCGAATGACTACTCGAGTGCCCACAAACACCCCTAGACTGGAGTTTGCTTCTTTATTGTGCACTCTTAAAATAGAAGGTTCTTTAAGGGTTCTTTAGTAAAGAGAAACCCTCTACAAAGTAACACTCAAAGAACACTTTGCATGATTGAAGTGTTCTTTGCATCATGAAAGGGTTCCTTCAGAATGTGCTGTAGATGGTTCTGTATAGAACCTTTTTGAGGAGAGCTCTGTATAGCACCCGAGAAGGATTCTTCTATTGTTGCAAGCCTGACACTGTATCAAAAGAAGAACCTTTTGGGTGCTATATAGAACCCGTTTCAGAAAGCACATTTTGAAGAACACTTTCATGATGCAAAGAACCCTTTTATCATGCGACAGCGTTCTTTGAGATTTTTTTTTTTACTAAATAACCCTTAAGGAACCATCTTTTTAAGTGTGCAGCACTGGAGCTGTGAGGCTAATGTAGCTAATGAGTAATGGGAGCTTATACACTCACCAAATTAGCATCATGCTAACTGCATACTTGAATCCACACACATTCTCCTGAGACCGTGTGGAGTTGTTAAGTAATCTCTGATAGACTTGCTTAAGTGTAACTTACTCAGCTATAAAAATGGGCTAAAATATGTAGCATAGCTAAAGGCAGTGTTAGCAATATTTTGAGACATGAATTTAGCATTCATTGTAAAAATCATTGTAACTGTAGCTTTATTATTATTATCGTTGTTATTATTATTATTATCATTATTATTATTATTATTATTATTACAACTAAAGTATTTTTATAGGTGGCACTTAGATAAACGAAATATCGTGATGCATGTCATGAATTGTGAAAAGAAAGTATTGTGATGCATTTTTTCCACATCGTTCTGTTGTCCATACTTATAGATAACAATGAGTGTGTTTACATGCACTCAGTAATCCGATCATATTCAGATTTCTGCAGTTGTCTGATTATTCAAATGGTCATGTAAACAGTATACTCTGATTTCGTAGAAGGGAGGAAGGGCTAGAAATCCGATTAAGAAATAAAGAGAGCTGGATTTTAGCTCACTAATCAGATTTCTCAGTGCATGTTAGACTCTTACTCTGATTTCTTTCGGATTTCTCAGTCTGTGCATGAGCAAAAACAGACGATGGTACCGGAAATAAGCGAGCAGCGTCGCCGCGAGACGCAGCAAAACACTTTTGGAGCGACGCTGAAACCGAATACATGCTTGACGAAATGAAGGACTTAAATATTCTTCATCTTCTAGATCATGTTTGTTCGTATTTTCAGATAAAGTGACTCGATGTTTTTTAAAAAGCTGCGGCATGAAGTTTGAGTTTTATATTCTGTTTATGTCTCGTCTTCTTCTGTGAGGTTATTGGCTGGATGCAAGGCAGAAATCCGATTACTGCCTGACTCATGTAGACCCGGAGTTTCCTTATTATCTGATTACTCAAGTGAATGTAATTGTGATGATTAGATCACTGACAAAATCTGATTTTCTGCAGATATCAGATTACTGAGTGCATGTAAACACACTCAATGTGTCATACAATGTTAGAAACTACATATGCGAGTCTATTAGAGATACTGAACAACTTCACACAGTTTGAGGCAAGTGTCTGATAATTTAGGCATACAATTAGCATCATGCTAACCCAGTAACCTGAAGGCTTTTAGCCACCTGTTGTGCTAACTTCATGCACATACTTGCCTCAGTAATCTCTAATAGACTTGTTTATTTAGCCTTTATTAGCCTCATAAATTCAGACCCTAAACATGTCGTGGCTGATTTGGGGTAAAACTGTACACATTATATTTTTTGGTTTATTCATTGTTTTCAGTGCGGTAAGTACAGTCACTGTGTGCATCTGTGTTAGTGCTGGTCTCACCAGCTAAACTGGATTTAGAACTGTGGTTCCTCTTTCTCTGTGTTCTCTGATGCAAGATGTTCATGGCTGATGATGTTTGTAGATTTTAATTATGAGCCGCTGAACTCCGGAAGAAGCAGCACTGCAGGACCATTTAACGCCTCAGTCAGCACATAATAAAGCAGCCCAGCTGCCTCAGGACTTTCTCAGTCCTCTTCACACCAGCTGCTTAGAGTGAAAGGGATGTTTACCTGCAAATGACCTGAGGCGATTCGTTCCGTATACAAGTAACGAAGGAGTGAACAGATAATTGATGGACTGATGTTCTACTTCTGAAGTATAATAAGGGTAGAGTTCATTCTTCCCAGCACTAGTTTCTTAGTTGATGGTGCCTAATTCTTAAGTTACTGAGTAATTTATAGTAGGTACTGGATTTTAAATATATACTAATAATAATTAATAGTATTCACTAAATAATTTATAGTAATTACTGAAAAAATCTACAGTAGTTACAGAATAATCCAGACTGTATATAGTAGATACAGAATAATTCATAAATGTTACTGAATAATCTGTAATAGACACTGAATAATTCATAAATGTTGAGTTATTCATATTAGATACTTAATAATTTACAGTAGATACTGAATAATTCATAGCAGATGCTGAATAATTAATAGCAGATGCTGAATTATTAATAGCAGATGCTGAATTATTAATAGCAGATACTGAATAATTAATAGCAGATGCTGAATAATTAATAGCAGATACTGAATAATTCATAGTAGATACTGAATAATTCATAGTGGATACTGAGTAATTTATAGTATATGCTGAATAATTTATAGTAGATACCGAATAATTTATAGTAGATGCTGAATAATTTGTAGTGGATACTGAATAATTCATAGTAGATACTGAATAAATTTTAGTAGATACTGACTAATTTATAGCAAATGCTGAATAATTCATAGTAGATACCGAATAATTTGTAGTGGATACTGAATAATTTACAGTAGTTGCTGAATGTTGTTAGTTACTGAATAAGTCTTAAGATTAGATGAACAGTTTAGTCAATGAAGTATGAAATAAAGTGAGTAGCTGCAAATTAGCATTTTGTAAATATCATCATGATAATAGAAGGTTCCATTCATGATTAGGCACATATACCATATACCATATTTCATTACTGCAGCCATTTAATAACTCAGTAATGAGCTGAGAGAGTCGTAGAGCAGTTGAATGCAGGGGAGTTGAATGCAGGGGAGTTGATTGCAGGGGAGTTGAATGCAGGGGAGTTGAATGCAGGGGAGTTGAATGCAGAGGAGTTGAATGCAGGGGAGTTGAATGCAGAGGAGTTGAATGCAGGGGAGTTGAATGCAGGGGAGTTGAATGCAGGGGAGTTGAATGCAGGGGAGTTGAATGCAGAGGAGTGAATGCAGGGGAGTGAATGCAGGGGAGTTGAATGCAGGGGAGTTGAATGCAGGGGAGTTGAATGCAGGGGAGTTGAATGCAGGGGAGTTGAATGCAGAGGAGTTGAATGCAGAGGAGTTGAATGCAGAGGAGTTGAATGCAGAGGAGTTGAATGCAGAGGAGTTGAATGCAGAGCGTGTGGAAGCAGCTGCAGGTTTGTGTGGGTGAGGGTGAAAGTCAGTGCCCTGCACGCTTGACTGTTCACTGAGAAAAACTCGATCAGATAAAAGAAACCAAAACAAGCCACGAGGAAGTTGAGAGGTTTCTCAGTGCAGAAGGCAAAGAAACTAATAATCATCTCCTGATACCGACCTCCCCCCGAGTGCGTTAACCCCTCCACCTCCAGACCGGTTACTGTAATGTGGCTTCACCATTGAGTTAACCCTCTACTGCACACCTTAATAGAGCATTTAAAAAAAATCGCTTTTCTTCCATAAAATTGACCTGATTATTACATTCAGAAACATTTTTTGAATAATTATGTGTGAAGGGGTCCTTTTGGTGTATGTTGCCTTGAGGCAACATTGTGCGACAATGGGATGAAATAATATAGATCCGCGATTTCGGAAAGTGGTGAGACCTGGCTTGTGACTCATTAAATCCCTTCCACTGTCACACAGTGTTGCTTCTAGGCGACGTATTTCTGCAAAGTCGCATAACTAAAAAATGATATTGAATGTTAAAAAGAGGTTTAAAAGTGCAAACTAAGAGACAGTGTGACCAAATACATGCTTTTTTACTGACTTACTCAAACTCTGCCCTTTATTGTTAACCCTGTCAGTGTCCTTAAATATGTATAATGTAGTTGTAAAGTGAGGACAGTGTTTGTTGCCCTGAGGCAACATCGGGCTGCATGATGAACTACATTTACATTGGTTTACTTTCTGTACCAACTGAAAGCTCTGAATCTGCACTTTAAACATGATTTCTCTGCACGTTTCAATGAGCTGCAAGTGAGAAATAATTAAACGAGATGTAAAAGCAGCTGTTCAAAAGCAAATTCACTGTAGAGGAGCTTTAATAAGTGTCTGTTCAGGCTATGTTTCTACTCCGACTACAGCTTTAGTTTTTCGGGTCCTGCAGTGTTTGAACAGGCCTCTGTTTATGGTGCTGACTGACTTATAGTCTGACTGGGACATGGTGTGTTCATTTGTGTGACATAGGAATGTAGCGTGTTTGTTTTTGTATATGTTTGGGACTTAACACACTGTGACTGTGCAGGAAAAGCAGAGGTAGCTGCCTTGTGAGGACATGGCAGTTTGTACACAAGCGCCATGTTTTGTTGTTTAAGAAAACATTTGTTTTGGATCCTGAGGTTAAAGATAGTATTAGTCGTTGAGTTACGCTCAGAAAATTCTTATACCTATAGATATTTACATATATATTACATATGGGTATTATTATTTTATTACTATGCATATTATTTATGACCACCTCCTTGTTTCTACCCTCATTGTCCATTTTATCAGCTCCACTTACTATATAGGTGCACTTTGTAGTTCTACAGTTACAGACTGTAGTCCATCTGTTTCTCTGCATACTTTGTTAGCCCCCTTTTACCCTGTTCTTCAGTGGTCAGGACCCCCATAGACCCTCTCAGAGCATGTACTATTTGGGCGGTGGATCATTCTCAGCACTGCAGTAACACTGACGTGGTGGTGGTGTGTTAGTGCGTGTTGCGCTGGTACGAGTGGATCACACACAGCTGTGCTGCTGGAGTCTTTAAACACTGTGTCCACTCACTGTCCACTCTATTAGACACCCCTACCTTGTAAGTCCACCTTGTAGATGTGAAGTCAGAGACGATAGCTCATCTGCTGCTGCACAGTTTGTGTTGGTCATCCTCTAGTCCTTCATCAGTGGTCACAGGACGCTGCCCACAGGATGCTGTTGGCTGGATGTTTTTGGTTGGTGGACTATTCTCAGTCCAGCAGTGACACTGAGGTGTTTAAAAACTCCAGCAGCACTGCTGTGTCTGATCCACTCAGACCAGCACAACACACACTAACACACCACCACCACTTCAGTGTTACTGCAGTGCTGAGAATGATCCACCACCCAAATAGTACCTGCTCTGTTAGGGTCCATGGGGGTCCTGACCACTGAAGAACAGGGTAACAAAGCATGCAGAGAAACAGATGGACTACAGTCTGTAACTGTAGAACTACTAAGTGCTCCTATATGGTCAGTGTGTAGAAGCAGTGAGGAGGGTTTAATGAAGTGGCCGGTCCGTGTGTGTAGTACATGTGGAACGTACCACTGTCACATAAAGACACTCGCAGGCTTATAAAACATATGGATTTTTACCTGTGTTCTGCTCTTCCAGTCCTCCAGGAGGCGGTCAGTACCGGAGACCCGGAGATGGTGCAGCTGGTCCTGCAGCGGCGTGATTACCTCAAAGCCTCCACCGCGCTGGGGGGCGTGCCAGAATTACTGTGCAAGATCCGAGAGGTCAGTGTCGGGTCAGCTCAGGACGATCAAGAATGTTGACTGTTATCGCAGAGTTTTTATTTTAGCTCCAACCAGGTCACTTAGTTAGCTACTTTAGAGGAAATGCATCTGGCTACCAGGTTAGCCAGCTGTCTACATATAACAGACTGAGGTTCTCACGTTCCTACAGGTCATACTTGGCTAACAGCAGTTTGTCAGAAGTGGGTAACAGCAGTTTACTAGAGGAAACTGCGATGGAAATTTACCATGGAAACTGATTACAAAATAATGTAAAGCAGTGTTTTTTCCAGAGTTGGCTAACATCATTTAACCTGAGTGAACTAATGGTTGGTTAGAGTTAGTTTACAACAGTTGGCCAACTTTCTACCCACAGCACAACTGAAAGCCTTTCTTAATATTAAATTACAGCATTTTATGCAGAAGCAGTGAACGTTCAGGTTGACGCTTCAAGGTTTCTTAATTTCATTACTATAAATATCAGAGCTACAGTGAAACAGTTCTAGGCTGAGATTTGTTCCCATACATCACGTCCCCTCCCTTCACGTCCCCTCCCTTCCTCCATCTCGCTATCTGTAAGTGTGTCCAGTTCCGGTCCTGGAGGCCACCGTCCAGCACAGTTTGGTGATTTGCCTGTTCAAACGAAACAACTAAAGTCAGTCATTCAGTTGAATCGTGTGTTTGAGCAGGAAGATCACCAAAGTGCTGCACTTCACACTTTGAGTTCTACACCAGGCAAATCCGTTACTCCTGCATGATAATCAGAGATGCTCTCTCTCCTGTGTCAGTGCCTCTGTAAGCCTTAGTGCCTCTGGACTGTGAAATTCAAGAGGGAACAAATCTAAACTTACGGAGCTCCAGGTTGACACATCTGAATAGTTCACGTTTGTTACAGCGGCCCTAAAAAGTATTTGGACAGTTGTGCCCTACTTAAAAATGAAAATGTTGATTGTGCTGGGAAATAAAATGTCAAACCGAGTGGGATTCATTTTAAACAGTTATTTCATTTGACAAAGTGTTCTCTCAGACGGCGGCTGGTGAGTGTCAGATCATTAGTTCTTTGCAAACGACTGCAGGTTTGCATGCATCCAGAATGTCTTCGTACACTTCTGAGTTCATTAAACCATCAGTGAACACAAGCCGAGCAACAAAGCCAGCTCAAGACGTTAGTGTTTTAAACATGTTATGAAGTAACCTAAGGCTGGCTTTACACAGTGGAACTTCCATGCAACTAGTTGCATGTAACATTTATTTCTGTGCAGTTTGACAGTTCAGGAACAAAGTTGCATGCAACACAATTTATTACTTTGCTAGTCATCCAAATTAGCATCATATATTTTTTGATATTGTTCTCTCTGTATGAAGTTATCTGTGACGTGTTGTTTACATTAAACAAAGTTTAATTACATAAAGTTAATCAGGAGAATCTAATTTTCCATCATCCAATAAAACATCTTCTGTTTTATTTTCTTGCCCATTAATCTGGTGAACCCAGTCGTTTGAATTGATGTCGTTTGCTGTGATCCTGTGTTGCATTATCAGTGTTTTGATTGGCTGTTTCATGCAACTAAATCCTTTAAATGAGGTTTTGCAGTGATCCTAATATAAAGTTTCTCTTTTCTCCAGTCTCCAGATTTCTACATGGAGATGAAGTGGGAGTTCACCAGTTGGAGTAAGTACCAGTTACAGCCCACAGACTGGAATGCTTCTGTCTGATTTTCTTCAGTCTGATCAAAGCTGTTTGTTGAGACAGAATTTTAGACGGTTTAGCCCCGCCCACCCAGCCTGCAGCAATTTAGCCCCACCCATCCGGCCTGCAGCAGTTTAGCCCCACCCCATATCTTTCTTCGAAGATGTATGTATAAAAAGATTCTACGATGAAACCAGTTTGTCCAAACCAGTTTAAAACAGTTTGTAGGATCTTGTAAAAATGAAGACGTTGTTGATGATAAACGGAGCTGGAAGTCTGAACAGCATTGAGAATGAAATTATACAGAAACTGACAACCACAGAGCCTCATATTCGAAAACCGGTGACCAAATCTCGCTAATTAAACAGCTGTTCATGGTATTTTTGTGACAACAAATTCCAATAACCAGAAAATTCTAGCTTATTATTTAATAACACTTTATTTTTTTTTTTTTACCAAACCCCACCTGTGTATGTTGTTCCCAAAATACTGTAAATTGTGGATGAAGTGCTGGTTAAAGTTTTGGTTTCTAGTTTATAGCATTCCAGTCTACACTGTATCAGTTATTACTGAATAGCAGTTATTATGACCCCAAAGTTTTGAGTGGTAGTGTGCGTTTCAGCCAGGACTGCTTTCGGAATTAAGCCCATTACAGACCAACCAATCAAACCAAGGTAATTTACATATACCAGATTTAAAGGCACATTTACAAAAGCAGCCGGTTTAATTCTAATTTGCAGAGGTTTGAAAACGATCACGTAAAAATTAATAATGATTGTTTATTGTTTAATGTGGTATTTTGTGTTGTCCTGTCTGATCTCAGTCCCGCTGGTGTCCCGCGTGTGTCCGAGCGACGTGTGCCGGATCTGGAAGAGCGGAGCCAGTTTGAGAGTGGACGCCACCCTGCTGGGCTTCGAGAACATGACCTGGATTCGAGGGAGACGCAGCTACATCTTTAAAGGAGATGGTACAAACCACAGTGCACACCGACACACCTGTACTCAGCGCTGCTTGTGCACCTGCTTGATTATCATAGCTTTGAAAATGTCGTCTAGATGAGGGAATCATTGCAGAGCTGCTAGTTTTACTGTGCTCAGCCTTCTGGTGTTTTAGTGTGGAAGCCTTGTACAGTGAGCTAACAGACGTGTAATATTCATAAGTGGCATGAGCTGCAAGTTTAGCTGTGCGGCTAAGCTGCTGATAGTATATTATTATTGTAATGAAATCTGTGCCAATGCTGTGATATATTTGATTATAATTCTGTTTTTATGTAACACATTTCATGATATTTTTTTACAATATTAACCATGAATGTAAAAAGAAACTGATTTGCTTAGTTTACTCTGGAGGCTGAAGCTTCTTATTCACCAGCTTCTTCAAATGATCCATTCCACCTTAAAAGGAAATGCAGATAACACTGCTGTGCACTGAATTGACAGCATAAGACTGGCAACTTCACAGTTACAGTAAAGACCCGCTGTGTGTCTGTGTGTCCAGACAGCTGTGCTGAGCTGATGGAGGTGAACCATGATGAGGAGGTGGTGGACACAGAGAGCTTCGACATCTCCCGAGAGATCGAGGAGGTCACGCTCGACTCCATGCAGCCCAACGAGCAGGAAGTAGCCAAGCGACTGACCACGCCCATCATCAACACTTACCTGGACACCAAGGACATCTCCTTCGAGAGGTGACCCTCGTTCCTTAGAATGAATAGTTTGGTGAAAACTACATCAGAGACTCAGAGATGTCCTGTCAAATCGTCTTTAGGGCCCATACAGTACATTTTCCTTGTATTTTATTTATTTCGCTGAAGCCCACTTATGACATCTGTGGACCACTTTCCAAGTTCTACATGACCATTTTCCAACCTCTCTTTATCCCTTAGAATTAAAAAGGCTGTTTTTGAAACTGCGCCTTTAAGGCTGACATATGTAAATAAGCCCTGTTGTGATTGGCTGCACTGCATTCCATTGTGGCTCATTTGAAAAGCAGTGTGGGCTGAAACACTCCTTATAACTTCACAGTGAGTGGGCAGGGCTACTCACTGGCTGAATAGGCGGATATGTGTGAATGTGTTGGTTTTTGTGACAGCATAAAAGCAGTCAATGCAAAACAAGCTGTTTAGTTTCTATGTATGTACTGGGGAGTGAATGGAACATAAAAATAATAATAATTTTCAATAAAACAAAACTTTAACAATGTTCACAAACCACATCATTTAAAAAAAGTGAGGAAAATTCAGATTTTCACAGTGTGGGTCCTGAATTTCCACTGTAGGATGTCTTACTGTTTATCAGACTTTGTGATGCATATCTTATGTGGTAAAAAAGTTGTTGCCAATACGGCTCCACCCCCTCTCTTCAGGAAACTATACAGCATGTCAGGTTGACAGCTGAGTAAGTGGTGGGAGGTCTGGCGCACTGATTTTGTGACGTTGATTGTGTATCCAGGTGTAAATCTGGAATCTGGGGCTGGAGAACAGACAGAACAGAAGTGGTGAACGGATTCGAAGCGAAGGTGGGTGCTCTCATTGATTAGACGGATGCTGCAGCATTAGAATTAAATTAGAATGCAAAAGTTTGGGAGCCCCCAGTCGAACGATGTTTTTTTGATGTTCTAAGTGAAAATAAGTGAACACATCCTCTACAGAGACCACACTTCTGCACAATTTATTGGTTAATTACTGTTTATTTGCAATTAGTAAATAAATAGAAGTTCTAAAATTGCAGAAAAATGTCATATTTAACAAAGCATGTCATTTGACCATACGCCTCTGTCCTCATTTTAAAACACAAACACACAGAAAGGACTGGCTATATTACGTTTTTGTCTGTATTCCATTACTTGTTCCTGCATTTGTAAAATTAGCGCACTTTTCAAAATTGGTGTTTGGTGCTGTGAACCACCAGTTAAAGCAGAATTTTACCACTTTTTTTTTTAGAAATTGTGAATACTTCAGTGGTTGAGATGTAAACAGAGTGATTCAGAGTGGTTTGGTGTGAAATGGTTGATTGTAGAGACTCTTTACAGTGATGGTGAGAGGAACCAGGGGTCGCCACGACTACAACACAAATATAGACCTTTTATTTACTTTCCAAAACCACCAGTGAACCTACACGAGTCTTCTGAGGTTTTATATGTGATACTGATGATGGTTAATTAGTGATAAATATGAAAAAAATAAGTTTTCTTTGGGGACTATTTTGTCTCACAACACCCTGCATGTATCCCTCCACCATGAATGTGTTAACTCTTCTCAAAATTATCATAAAACTCAAGACATCAGGCAGTGAATTCATAACCAGTTCATGTAATAGCTGTCTGTGAGGGAGCTTTTAGAGGTGGACGTCTGGTTCCTATCACCACCACTGTGAACAATTCTGACTCTGTAAGTTTCTCTAGAACAGAGCATTTGACACCAAACCACTCTGAATGACTTAATAATACGTGTTAATAATAAAGATTTCCTTTCAAAACAAAGCACTCTGTCCCTGACAATAAGAGCAGTGTTACTTTGTTACTTATTTATTTATTTATTTATTTGTTTGTTTGTTTTTTTGGCAGGTGTTCTCAGTCAACAATGTGAACCTCGTGATTCGGACGAGGACAGAGCACCTCACTGATGAAGAGAAGGCCCGAATAAAAAGTACCTCAATATTTAATGTTATGTAACCTGTTTAAAAATAACATGCATGCGATTTGATTCTCTGGGATTCAGTGTAGTGTATTTGCTGTGAAGAGCCTGGTCTGTTTTCATTTTCATTAAGTCCTTTACGTCAGTCCTAAACCTGGAATTTCCCTTCAATTACACCTGCAATGTTCAGGTACTTTCCCTTTCACACCTGACTGCACACCTGAAGAGCCCAGAGTTCAATCAGGAAACAACAACTAGTCTCTCAACTAGTCGGACGGACTCACATTTGTCTTTATTTACAAGAGTTTTATTCCCAAATGTTTATAAGCTTTGATTTTAATTTTCTGTATTACAGAAACTTCTTAACTCTGAAAGCTTATCTGTTTAGTCACCATGACAACTTCAGTTAGGACTGAATTCAGGACAGAAGCTATTACAGAATAACAGTTCCTGACTTTATAGTCTTATCACTAACTCCAGATTAGAAAACAGAAACATCTTAACTAGACTAAACCTCCTAAATACTGTCCTAATTTTAAGACAAACCCCAGAAGTGTCTTAACTTCTGATTAAAACGTCTGTTTCTATCGTTTTATGCCGTGACAGGCAGCGTAGTTCTGCTGTGCCTGTATAGTGGGTTGCTAGGTAATAGACCTGACAGTTGATTGATGACTTTGATTGAGTAAGTTAAGACTTCCTAATGTGAGATAAGATGCTTTAAGAGAAGATTCCAAAATTAGGATAAGTTTTGCTTCTGTAGTAGGAATTTGTGAAAAACCTTATCTGAACCTTCAGATCTTAAGACAAAAACATAAGACGTTTCTGTAATACGGCCCCGGGCAAAAGAGACACGGGAGTTTGATGCTCGTTCTGGCCAAACGCTGCTGTACAAAGAAGTACTTGGCTAACTTGATTAGATGAATAAGTGAAATGTACTGGTTTTTCATCATACTTTACCAAGTAGAATAGATCAGTACTTTGCCAGGTGCAGAGCAGTAAGGCGGAACTTGTTTTTTAGCTTTGGGTTTGTCGTTGTCGTTCGCTTGCTGTCTTTATAATTCTTTCACAGCTGGTCATGGTCACGTGTCTGACGAATGAGGCGCAGTACCCTGATCTAAGTGAGCTTGTTGGCTTTTACATATGACTTGTTTTGTGCGTGCCTTGTATTCTAAAGCAGTGAAGCAGGAGGGGCCATAAATTACTGTGGTTTCCAACACAAGAATGGCAACAGGAACAGGAAATTTATCTAGCTAGCTACCGAGACATCAGCGTACTACTGAGAAAAGGGCCACAACGACATTAAACTAAGATAATACGATGGTTATTGTAGTTTTTAACGGAGAAAATTCTCACATTTGTGTGTTTCTTTGGTTTCTTGTTCAGCCACCTTGCCTGTTTTTCTTTTTTTACTCATAACACTCTGTTTGGAGTGTGTCTCTGAAAATAACCGGTCACGTAGCCCTAACACTTCACCCTACCCCTCTATCTCAACGAGGATCAGGACACCCTACCCCTAGACATGAACGAGCCAAACGGAGGGATAGGGCTCGGCGGTAGGGGCGAGGGGTGAAATGGGATTGCGCCTTTAACTCAAACTGAATTAAAATTCATCCTTTTTGTCGTGTTAGTTCTGGTCTTTGGTCATATTAAGCGCTAAAATTAATCTCATCATTTAAAAGACTAAATTCTTGTTTTTCTGTAATCTTCCATCAAAATGTGATGACTTTAGATTTTTTTTTATTATGGCACTGTGCACCAGTGGTCAGGTCAAAATAATGTTAACCAATAATATCATGTTTCAACCTCCGCCTCCTGCCACCACCACCACCATCACCACCTATCACTGAGAGAAAACACTTAGCTGCCTTTAGAGGTGCAGACATTTCCTATTAAAATTGACTTTAATTTTGACTCCAGGTTTACATTTTACTGTATAACATTAAGTTCAGCAGCTACAGGTGTCAAGCACAAGTTGTGGAAAATCAGATGCATTTCAAAATAAAAGTGCACAGTCAAAAGTCCTGTTTATTTTTAAAAAAAGTTAGTAAAACCACCAGTTAAGTTACCGCTGCAGTAAACCAGGGTGAATGAGATCCACTGATTCAGATTGTGGATTTTAATTGTTCCTCTTTGATGTAGGTGAAAGGAACATCCTGGAATCTTTTCTTGGGACAGTAGAGCAGCAGATCAGCGCTCAAGGGGTGAGGCCTGTTTGTGGACACACAGTCTCTTAAATAAAGCCTTTTCTATTAATGTAAAGTACAACCCCATTTCCAAAAAAGTTGGGACGCTGTGCAGAATGTAAATGAAAATAGGATGCAATGATGTGCAAATCATACCTCAAAGACAACATCTCAAATGTTGAAACTGAGAAATGTGATTGTTTTTTGAAAAATATATGCCCATTTTGAATTTAATGCCAACAACATGTTCCAAAAAAGTTGGGACGGGGGCCTGTTTACCACTGTGTTTCAACACCTCTTCTTTTGCCAACAGTCTGTAAGCGTTTGGGAACTGAGGAGACACTGCTGTAGTTTTGAAAATGTAAATGTTTTCCCATCTTGTTGATATAGGATTTCAGCTGCTCAACGGTTCTGATGTCTCCTTTGTCATATTTTTCATTTCATAATGCACTAAATGTTATCAGTGGGTGACAGGTCTGGACTGCAGGCCGGTCACTTTAGTTACTTCTGAATGTCATGTTATTGACCTGTTGCCAATTAACCTCCAGGTGTTTTTTTTAAGCATTACACATCTTTACCAGCCTTTTGTCGCCCTCATCCCAACTTTTTTGGAACGTCTTGTTGCCATCAAATTCAAAATGGGCAAATGTTTTTCAAAAAGCAATAAATTTTCTCAGTTTTAACATTCGATATGTTGTCTTTGTACTATATTCAATGAAATATAGGGTTTAAATGATTTGCACATCATTGCTTTTTGTTTTTATTTACATTTTTCACAGCGTCCCAACTTTTTTGGAAATGGGTTGTTCCAGGTAATTTTGGAACAGTTCTAAAGGGCTGCAGAATGCTCTATTGTTGAATGGCACAATTTATTTACCTATTTAGGGCCACGTTTGTCTGGGCTATTTTTTTTTTTTACATGGATCAAATGTAGTGTTGCCCTAAACTGCCAAAGTGTTTCACCATTAAAAGTCCAATGTATTCTCAACTTTGGTTTAATCTGGGTTTGGAAAACCAGCCAGTTGCTGTTCTTGCTTATGGCATTTAGGAAATGATAGTAACCAAGACTGAAATGAAGTGATTGTGTTGAATCCTTTCGGCAGGATTTGACTCTGGAGTACGCCACGGCCACGAACCCCACAGCCATCACTCCAGAGGAGTATTTCAATCCAGACTTTGACCTGAAAGACAGAGACATCGGCCGACCCATCGAGCTCACCATCAGAACCCAAAGGTGAAGACGTTTAAAGAGGTTTTCATATCACAGTGACACACAGTTAAGAGACAGAACTGTAAGTGAGGACACAATACAGAAAAAGGTGTTTGCGATTTGCTACACGCTATGCAGCATAATAGGTCACATGGGCTTCCTCAGTGGACTTGCTGGTTGTTCTATAGAGCGGCTGTTTGCGTTTGCCAGGTTTAAGGGTACGCTGTGGATGAGTGAGGAGCACCCCCTCTCACTGGTGGAGCAGGTGACCCCCATCATCGACCTGATGGCCCGAACCAGCACGCACTTCGCCCGTCTCCGAGACTTCATCACCCTCCGCTTCCCCCCAGGCTTCCCCGTCAAGATCGGTAGGTGAAGAAAGACGAGAAAAGCTTCTCTGCTTTGAGAAGCCGCGATGGTCGAAGGGGTTCACAGAGCTTGGATGGTTTACAGAAAGAAAAGAAAACAAAGAAGCTGAAGGAGCTGTCGTCTTCAGCCGATAGTGACCTGAGTTCCACTATTAGGCCTGTAACAATTATTACATGAACGCCTAATCGCAATTATTTGAGACGATCACATTATTTAATATTCCACAGTAAGCAGCACATGCGTTCATTGAGACTTCTTGGGACTCATGATAACAAAAACGTTCTAACTTGTGCTCTTAACATGTTGGGGGCAACGCTGAGTAATGTTGAGCACCAGAGTATTTGTTAGCTGTGTAGCTATTTCTAATGGTTTTAGCTTGCATGCTAGTAGAAGTGTTTTTGCTTATATTTTCAATCTCATATAGCTTTGCTTGACTCTGTGCATGATTCTGTGTAACTGTACACATTTGTGCATTCAGTGAAGAAGAAAATAGAATTAAGTCATAAATTACTTGTGACAATTTAGCATCAGCTAAAATTAATGATCGTGACGCCCTATACACTGTTTAAAGCTGTTTTGACTAGCATCGCCACCCAGATGAAAAACAAAGAAGCAAAAATGTTATAACTTGAAATTAATGTAAAGATATTTTGTTTCAAAGTGATTTTGGAGCTTTTCTGTCGGTCCCTTCATCATGAAATTTACACACAATGTGTGCAAGTGATGTAGAAAAGAAAAAAAATAGGAATGATAGATATTTTATACAGATTTCTGTATGAAAAGTACTTTTTTCCAATTTTGTCCAAAACTTCATAATTCAAAAACAGTAACTATAGAAAAAGGAAAAAACGCTTCTAACGTCTGTTCTTGTAACCAGACTTTATAAGTAATGGACTGTGTTCACAGGTCTGCTCATTATGTGACGTTCACACAATATGAAGGAAATAAATAAAAATTGGTTGTCTTAAGAAATTAACAGTGGGGCTCTTGAGTGCTGCAAACATCTAAGCTTTGGCCCTGTGCTCAGAAAATTGAGCATAAGAAAGAGCATAATTGTCCTTCCAGCCATCAGTGGTGTCCGTTAAGCAAAATTAGTAGTGTTCTTCTCCAAGCGTGTTGAGCTGACCAGTGATGCTGTGTTAGTGTTTGAAAAAGTGGTGGAGAGAGTGATAGGGTCCTAGCTAGTAGATGGAACTGGATATGACTACATTGGATTATCCTTCATTCATATTGTAACAGTGTAGGTGAAGAACACAAGGTAACATCTCACCTTGTTTTCATTTTTCGGCAGAAATTCCTTTGTTCCACGTGCTCAACGCTCGCATCACGTTTGGAAACGTCAACCAGTGCAGTACGGAAGAGCCTGCAGACGCAAGTAAATCGGCTGCTACGCCGTCACCAACGGACAAGAGCCCAGGAGAGGGCAGCGAAGCCTCAGGTACATCACACTAGCTAACGTTAGGGTCCACTGACATCACGGTACCGAAAGCATGAATAATGTTGTTGTTGTATTGTTATATGATGCTACCTTCACATGGTCGTGTTTTCCATTTGCAAAGTTGTAATTATAAATCTGTCTAGAATTGGAAATATGCAGGATTTGGTAGCTGTGCATGTTTGTTAAATTCGCTGCTAACGTTAGCGTAACGTTAATTAGCTAGGCTTTATTTTGCTTTCCTTAATTTTTTTGTTTGAAAAAATAAATAATTACTTACTGCTGAGCTCCCAAACTTTCCCTTGTTAAGCAGCAAGTCCGAAACTTGTTTTTTGAAAGTGCCCTATTGTAATTCGGACTCAAAGAGATGTTCAAGTGCAACTTTTAGGTTGGCAAATAAAATCCAAAAGCATGCAAAGCAGCATCAGACCTGAAGCTTCCTGTATAGTCCTCTTTACCTGAGCTCAGGTGTGTTCTCTGCTGGAAATGACCAAACCTATGGAGTCCCCTCACAGCTCTGTTTGCTGTTCTATCCAGGCCTTGCACCTTTCCAAGTGTGCCCCTCTGTGTTCACTGTTCCTGCTCACTACCGCCTCCGTGGGGGAAACAGACACAGTGCACCCCGTCACCAGGTGTCCAGCCACGACGAGGAGCTGCTGCAGTACGCCATTCACCAGAGCCTGCTGGAGTCCAGCGGCTACAGCCCACAGGTCAGATATGTCTGTGTGTATGATATAACGTGAGCTGTATGTGTTTATGCTTTATCAACACAATAACATGTATTTTAAAGTACACTGATTGGTGATTTGGCTAAAATTCTTATCACAATATATTTTTCTGTATCATTTTTAATTATTATACTATCAATAATTATCAGTAATTGTAAGGATTTCCTAATGGTGTGATACACAAAATAGCTTGGATATGTATAGATGCATGTTGTCGCTGCTGGGACAAAACCTCCTATTTTGCACTTTGCGTGTAAGTTAATGGAACAAGATTTTGGACCATTGGATCATTTTTGTTATTATATATATATATTATATATATATATATATATATATATATATATATATATATACATATTTATTATTTAAAACGGCTGGCATTTTGGAAGTCCGGAAAAAAAAATGTGAACACTACACAAATGGAGATAAAAGATTCCATCCCAACAGCAACCATTTATAATAATGTTTTTTACATAATAGATAAAGGAATATATGTAAAACTAGTTAGCGTAAGCATTATAGCATATGTTTTTACAGCATGTTTTTAAAAACTTTTTTATTTTTTCATTACAGTTAACAAGTTTTTTTCCACAGATAGTTTTAATTTTAGTAATAGTTTTACTGATAAAAACCTTGCTGTTGCAAGTGAATAGCTAGACTTCTTCTCTAATGAATAGGTACACTAGATGGCACTTCGCCACCTAGTGTACCAAAGTAGTCTTGCAAGTTGTTTGCCACAAATACAGGTTTGAGGTAACAGAACAGCATCATTTGAGCATAATTCTTTCAAATGATTTACTGAGAAAATGTGTGATTTCGATTATTATCATTACTTTTACACCGAGACCTACACTCTTAAAAATGGTTCTTCTTTGGTAAAGAAAATGGTTCTATCTTCTTTTATTGTAACAAGCTTGACATTGTAACAATAGAAGAGCCCTTTTTGGTGCTATATAGAACCCTTTTCAAAAAGGTTCCATATAGAACAGCACATTCTCTATCAATCTGAATCATGCAAACGGTTCTTTAAGTGTTTTGTAAGGGTGTTTTATATATTAGGTTCATTCAACCTAATACATAGAACCATTTTCTTTACTAAGGACCCTTGAAGAACCATCTATTTGAGTGTGTCGTATGTTTTTGTTCTCCTTTTCTAGGACTCTTGGGGTGATTCTAATGGAATTCTGACACAAAGCATGGTGAACAGCCTCAGTGATGCGTGAGTGTCACTCTCTCTGTCCTCTTTATTTTTATGCATGTGAAATTCAGAAACTCCGTTTTAACCCCGCGTTCATCCCTGCAGGACCGTCTCGGAAGGCGTCCCAGACCTGGACACCACGCCCACCAGCTCAGGCTCCACTTCCAGCCCAGACTCGGACCTGCGTCTGGCCATAGAGCTGTCCGCCCGCGCTCAGGAGGAGGAGGAGAAGAGGCGGAGAGAAGAGGAGGAGGAGTTGGAGAGGATTCTGCAGCTCTCGCTGACGGAGAAATGAGAGGACAAGGGGACGGGGAAGGACTAAAGGGAGAGTCTGTTTCCCATCGTTGCCATAAACCTCAGATCTCTTCGTCTGCACTCAAGTTCTGATGCAGCCAGCCACTTCCTACTCTGCCACTCACTAGCGTACGCCTGCGTGTTTTAGTAAAGTTTCGTTAAGGAAGAAACTCCTTTCTTAGCCTCAAGTTTAAGTATGTGGTTCCTTTAACTCATATTTGATGATCACAGAAGCTTATTTTTTAAAGATTTACTGCGTCTTCTAAGGATAACTCTTTTTCGGCCTCTCCTGAGATTCTGAGAGGAGTTCTGAGCTGCTTCTTTGAGATTACGTTGATAACAGAGTGTGTGCTCGTATGTGTCCCTGAAAGGCCAAATCTGGTGTGTGTGGGTCTGTGTGTGTGTGTTCTGTGCGCGAGCGTGGGTGTTTATATTTGTGGTTTGAGTAGCAGAACTGTAAAAGTAAGGCCTGTTTGGTTTATCATGAGCTTTCCTATCATCACAGTATCTCAGGGTTCTTCTTGGTTCCTGAAAAAGTGTTTGGTAATGTCCTTTCTAGGCTCCGCCCACAAATGCGTGCTTTCAGAACTGATGTTGTTTAGTTGCTTTACAGAAAACTGGTACAAAATCCCATTCGACCTATTGAGAAACTGTAGAACAGACTCAGTTTATATCACAATACCTACATTTAGAGCCAGTTATTCATTCAACCTATTGAGAAACTGTAGAACAGACTCGGTTTATATCACAATACCTACATTTAGAATTATCCATTTAGTCTAATGAGAATGCAACCCAATGTAATTGTTGGTATTGTGATATAAATTGTTTCTCATTAGGCTGAATGAGATTTCTACCAGTGTTGTGTAAAGCTTGTCCAACCTCACAAAGAATGCTATGAAAAACTCATTTGTGGGCGGGGCATGGACAGGGCAATGCAGTTGAGAACAGAATGTTCTGTCAAGTATCCATGGGGCTTGGTTCCCCATGCTTGGAAAATGGAGTTAAGTTAATTAGAGATCTACCGCCCTGCAAAGGTTAAGTCCAGTCCATTACTGTGGATCTACCAGTCACTTCCCATCTAACTCGCCTGATCCAGCTGATTAAGGTCATAGAAGCCAGTGGTGTTCAGACCAAATGGATCTTAAGAGTCATTAAAACCTTGTATTGGTCATCCCTGCACATTTACATTTACGGCATTTGGCAGACGCTCTTATCCAGAGCGACTAACAGTTTGATCATTTTTACACAGGTAGGCGAAGGCAGTCTTAGGAGTCTTGCCCAAGGACTCTTATCGGTGTAGTGTAGTGTGCTTTCATAGGTGGGGGATTGAACCCCAGTCTGTAGTGTAGAAGGCAGCGGTGTTACCGACTACACTATACCAACCGCTCCTAGATATCTACCACCATGGAGAAGTCACCTCCAAATACCTACATATTGCAAAAACATGTCAGTATTGCAGAAGCCAATTCTATGATATAAGCTAACAAATGATATACTGTCCAGCCCCTTTTACACGGATACACTGGACTGGATTTGGGACTGCACTCTGCAGGGCGGTCAGTCTCCAGGACGAGCGTTGGACGGCCCTAGGCCGAGGGCTTCCACATATCCAACCTGTTCGTGTGGGTGTCGTCAGACAGCTTCAGACGAGAGCGCCTCAACTCCGAAAGCAATACTAAAACCACCGTGCCTCCTCACTGTGAAAGACGAGCCTTCGTCCTGCTCTGAACTCTTCTACCGTAGACTTAGTGATGCAAATAGGCCTCAAGCTTTTATCATCTTTGCCTTGTTTTCTGCTCTCCAGCTATCGGCACCGCAGCTATGGAACATGGAGAGGAACCTTGTAGCACAGCTTGAGTATCGAAAACGATAGTTTGTCAAAAAAAAAAAAAATGGACCCGAGATGGAGCTGATCAGTCAAGGCATGATGTTTGGTGATTTTAGGAGCTACAAGGCTTGTTGGTGAGCTTCCAGTTAGGCCAATCACGATCATGATGTTTTAGCTAATGATCAATGGCGAGATGAGTAACTGCGATTGAACATTTGATTGTCTTTTTTTTTATCATTGTGATTTTGATCCAAGCCAGAAATGTTCAGTTTTGGCTAGCTTGCTTCCTCGCTGTCGACACTTGAGTAACTCAAAATAAATAGAAACATCCATCCATCTATCCATCATCTAAACCGCTTATCCTTCTGGGTCACGGTGGGGTGCTGGAGCCTATCCCAGCTGTATAAATAGAAATAGTTCAAGCTCAAATAAACAAACATTACTCACCGCCGCTCTCTAGCTTTTTGTTGGTGTTGTATCACAGACGTTGGTTTTCTTAAGACCCGATTACGCATCTCAGTAAATGTGTTTTCGGCTTTCTTTTAAGTGTATTTGTCTAAACCCAACTGATGATAACACACCCAGTTCACAAAGGGCCTCATTCACCAACCGTTCTTAAGACGAATTATTTTCTTAAAACCCACTTATGCAGTTTTCACGAAGATTCTGAGATTCACCAGAGTTTTCTTATTTGGGATTTGTTCAGAATCTACACACTCAAAGGTGGGAATAATTCTGTGGTTTAAGAACACGTCATGAATCTGACGTAGACTTTGTCTTAGGACTCTTCTGAAGAACACATTCAAGAGAAAATCTGGGAAGAGATGGTGAATGAGGCCAGTTGTTTGTTGCAGCATAAACATATTGTGAAATGTTAGAACTGTGGAAAATAATTGTAATCAGCTCAAATAATTGCAGTTATAATTGTAATTGGACTACATCCATTGCATTAGCCTCATAGCTAATATGGCAAAACTAACAACACCAAATACATCTTGGCTGGTCAGCTACATTTTGGCTAATGGAGAAAAAACTGTGAATCGAGTTATTCGCCAAGCTGTGGCTTTAAGTTCTGACCGGTGGTTTGAACTGCTGGTGGTTCAGCAGGATGTTGATGAAGGTGGAGAATGCGGGCGAGCTTGTTCTGTGGTATTCTAAAACAAGGCTTACTGTTGCGCTGTAGAGGTGCTTTCCTTCAGCTTCTAGCTCAAAAGCAACCAACGCAAAAAATGTTTTGTCTGGTTTCTGTAGAGGGCGAGGCTTTGTTTGGGTTATATGGCCTAATGAGCCTCTGAAGGTGTCTGGCAAGTGGAGTTAGGGCTCAGCTTCCATTATCTGTCACCAGTTTTTGTTTTTTTTAATATCAGTTTGCTTTCGTAAGAAATTTTACATGCGATGATATTGATTCAGTTCGCTGCACCACTTTTACTGATATTGTAGCTGCTCTTAGTGCAACAGACCAAACCTACAGCAGTGCGAGTGAATATTTCCAGTTTATGGCTCGTTTTATAACAGAAAATAATTGTTTCTTGATCTTATACTGTACGTAGGCTACATAAGCAACAAATGACAGGATGGCTGTGATGGACGATAAACAGCAGGGCATAGGCAGCAAGTCCAGATCTTCTGAATGAGACCTTTTATATCTGGTGTTTTCCTGGGTTTCTCTCTCTAACTTTCAAGGAACTAATTGCCAAATGACCTAATGAGCTTTGCCATATCAGGGTTAGCAAAGGCTAATTGTTTTCAAATAACTGTCCTGTTTGAACTGAGAATACGGTAAAATCTAATCATGCTGAAGAAATCCAGAAGGCATTTGTAAACTGTGATGTCTGTTTGAGGAAAAAAAATGTTTTCAGTTAAATAAAAGCACTTTATATGACTTAATTCATGGCTCTTTTCTGACGTTTCTAAATCTGGAACAGTTGGCACTTCAGGATCTTATCTTTTCCAGGTTCTTCTGTCGGTTCTTTCTTTATGTAGATCTACTCAAGATAGTTTATGATGAAAGTTTATTATGGTAAAATAGTGGAGAATCAGAAAAATACTATTTTGCCTGGGGATTATTTTGCCTTACGTGTACCTCTCCACCATGAATGGGTTAAAAATCACGTTTTAGTCCAAAACTTTCTCAAAACAATGGTATTAGACATCAGGCAGTGAATTCATAACCATTTCATGTTAACTCTCTGTGAGGGAGCTTTTAGAGGTGGATGTCTTGTTCCTATCACCACCACTGTGAACAATTCTGAGTCAGTAAGTTTCTCTAGAACAGAGCGTTTCACACCAAACCACTCTGAATGACTAAAGATTAAAAGGTAAATTACACAAGACAACCGACAAGCTGTGATTATTGGCACGTTTTTTTTTCAGGTGGCCTTAAAATCACAGGTCATCGTTATAAACTGATACTATCAGCCTACTGATATATTGGTCCAGCTATAGTCCAAATGACCTTTGGCCCAAAAGAGTTTTAATATGTGCTTTTAACAGTAGTTTGGAAATGAAAACGGTCAAATTATTTCATACCAACAAAGACACGTTGATGAACATGAAGCTGAATATACCCAAAGTGCTGCTGTATGCTAACTACGCCTGTGCAGGGATTCAAATCGACTTTGTTTCTTTCTTGATTAAAAAGTAAGCAAGAAAATTCAGATTTCAAAAGAAGGGAAGGTGTAGGTGTGGCCCTTCAAGGCTCCACAAGTGACATGGTGATTATTTTTAATAAGGTGTGGCCACAAATTATTATACTGAGGTAACCATCCACTATGCTGATGCCACAAATTACTATACTGAGGCCATATTTTACTATGCTGAGGGCACAAGTTACTATGATGTGGCCACAATTTACTATACTGAGCCCATGAATTACTATACTGAGGCCATGAATTGCTATAATGAGGCCACAATTTTCTATACTATACTATACCTCTATATTATACTATACTGTACTATACCTCAATTTACTATGCTGAGGCCACAATTTACTATATTGAAGCCACAAATTACCCAATATATTCATTTGTGGCCACATCTTATTAAAAAATAATCTTCATGAACTCCGTAAAAAGGTGTGTCCACAACACCAGTCTGTGTTGCGGAATGTCTGTTTTTTCATTTCTTGCTGCACTTCTCACATCAACCAACAGATGGCGACATGACAACACATAAGCACTTCTATTCACGCTCTCTCTCACTCATCCGTCTGCTGGTGCTGTGAGCTGGACATCATTCTTCATCTCCATTCTTTTTCCCAGAAACGCAGCCACACCAGCAGATACCTGTTTATCAGATGATGAGCTCTGGCTGTTTCTGTTCTCTACACACAGCTGCACTCAAATCCCAGAGTTTGTACTGACCAATCAGGAGCCGGGAGCCGCGCCACTTAATCCAATCAGGTTTAGGAAGATGACTGTATGATTCAGGCAGGTATGGCCGGTGCTGTGTAGGAGGACACAGGCCTGTAAATAGAAGCTCAGATCTGGTTAGATCTATCAGACCTACACATGTGCCCTATACAGGCAGCTTACCAGGTTACTTGATGTGGAACCTGACTGAGACATGGAGTGTGGAGCTTATACTGAATGTACAAAAGGTTAAAGTCACTTTCCATATTAATAACCGCTGTCATTTTATTTAATGATCACTTATAATGGTCCAACTGAAAAGTAATACACCAAACATGAAAACCGGTCAAGGTATTTTAGCATCAGTACGGTCAAATGCTCTTTATGGAACAGACACTTCAACAGTGAGTCGGGGAGGAGGTAGCATGAGAGGACATGACATACGAAGAGCGTAGACACTTCCAGCACACTGTCAACCCAAGCTCTTTGGTCAAATTTACAATAATAACTACAAACTCCACTAATAACATCTCCAACAGCAACTACTACAACAAATATCCTTCTTCAATTGGGAGTGCTGCACCTCCTGAGAGCCACTTTGCCTGGCCACACCCTCTAGGCTCCTCACGGCAGTGCAGCCCGTGGCAGATGCCACACAGCCCCCCCCATCAAAGGTTGGCTGTCCCAGGAACCAACACAGGCCAAACAAGCCCCTGGACTGAGTGGAGTCCTGGCATGTTCACTGTCCCAACCTGTTCGCCATCCCGGCCAGCACACCTTCTGTGGGGCGCCCCAGTTCTTTCTCTGAGCTATGTCCTTGGCATTGCAGCTCCTTGGTGTACCCCGCTCTGGGTATGGTGTCCTCCTCTGACCCTGGTGGGCAGCCCAACACCCGCTCTGTGGGCATCGTCTCAATTGGTGCGCAGGAGCATGCGCTGGTCAGCAACAGCGACACCGACGAGCCTGTGTCAATGAGGGCTGTGAGCTGTTTCCCATCTATGCTGCACTCGACTCAACATCAGTGGCAGTAGCCCATCTTCCTGACTGGCTTCCATTTCCCGCTAGCCCCAGCGTGGTGTCCCCTCTTCCTGTACACGTCAGCACACCAGTCACTCTGACGCCACTCGCTCAGGGTTCACTTGGCACGTCGTCTCTTGCTCTGAGGACGAGTTCTGCCCTCTCTGCCTCGGCAGCAGCTGCTTGAAGCTTGAACGTTGCAGCGAGCTGCATGCCGCCTGAGCTCCTCTGGCAGCAGTGCGTTCAGGAAGTGTTCCAGCACCAGTTCGTCCTGTGTGGCCTTCTCGAACGACGGGTATGCCTGACAAACCACTGTGCTCAGCTCCGCTGCTCTCTCTTTAGCATCCGCCTCTCCAGGAGCAGCCACTTTCGCTCCTCATGGCAGCGCAGCCCATGGCAGACACCACAGGATTGTTAGATGTTTTATTCAATATTTTGAGTTTTTTGTGTGAACAAAGTTTTTGAACAGCAACAGTTAATAACATACTGTAATCATCTATTTATAATAATTTTATTTCCATCTATCCGCCTCGAGATTTGATCTCCGTTTTTGAAATACTTGGTATTCTGAATATTAATTTTATTCTGAACTGTAATTTTATTTGAAGTCTAGGTATTCATTTTATAACTCTATTTAAATATTAATTTCATTAGAACCTCACTCTAGGTGTTAATATAAGTATTATTATAATATAATTAATATAAATTCAAATTTTATTCTAATAATTCTAGATATACATTTTATTAAAACTTCATTCTAAATATTAATTTTAATAGAATGTAATTCTCATTTTATTAGATACTTCTGGATTTTAATTTCATTTTAACTACACTTTTTATGTTATACAGATTTCTCAGCCATTTTAAATACATTTAAATTACTTTACAGCTTCCTACAAATTACTTGGAACTGTGGAGTTGCAGAGTGTTAGCACTATATGAGATTCATTGTATGTGTGTTTGCAACTAAATTGCTTTTTATAATTGCTGAAAACATATTTCAGCTTTTTGAACGCTGCACAGTGGTTTCTGATTCAATTCTGTTCGGTTGTGTTTTATTTGATCCCCCAGCTGCTGTGGGCCACACAGGATACTGCAGTTAGCATATAAATACAACAAGTTTGCAAGGAAGATTAAACATACAGAGGAAAAACCTGTATGTATGTATGTATTCAGACAGAGTGGTAGATATGTTAACACAGTAAAGAGTAAAGCTCAGTGTGAAGCAGAGCTCCACCAATTTTTCAAAATGTCTACATAATTAAATGGTTAAGATGTAAACAGAGTCATTCAGAGTGGTTTGGTGTGAAACGCTCTGTTCTAGAGAAACTTACAGAGTCAGAATTGTTCACAGTGGTGGTGATGGGAACCAGACATCCACCTCTAAAAGCTCCCTCACAGACAGTTACTACATGAAATGGTTATGAATTCACTGCCTGATGTCTGAGACACTGTTGTACGATAGTTTTGTGATAAAGTTTTGGCCTAACGTGTCTTGTTTTAGTGCATTCATGGCAGAGGGGTACACACAGGGGGTTGTGGGGCAAAATAGTCCCCAAAAAACATATTTTTTTCAGATTCTCCACTGTTTTACCTTCATCAGCGTGTAGGTTCACTGGTGGTTCTAGACAGTAAATAAAATGTCTATATTTGTGATGTATACATGGTGACTCCTGGTTCCTATCACCACCACTATGAAGACAACAGTCTGTAACTAGCTGAATGTAGCTAGATGCAGGCTATATATAGCATTAAAGCACCTGTCCTCCTCAGGTGAGCCTCTGGTCCGCATTAGCTTCTTCTCAACTTTGGGCCCGAGTCCATCCGCGCACTCTGTTGTCATGGCTGTGGATTAAGAAGACTCTAAGAAGACCCTCTGCATTTTAATGAGAATAGGGGTGCTAGATTAGCAAGAGGGCTCTTCAGGCTACGCTAATGCATCGCTAGGTGTTGAGGAGTGAGCACTCATAAACAGGCTAGCAGGGACGACAACATAAACAGCCTTTGGAAAAGAAGATTTGCTCAAAATAGCACAAACGTGCTCGGTCTCAATAAACTGGAGTTTCGAGTGATAGAAAAGCTAATTTATACAGTTTAACCCCAAAACGTACAGCCCACAGCTAAAAACAGTGCTAGCATCTTAAAGTCTGACTTTTCTCTATAATTTTGTTCATGTTTATAGATAATAGTGTGTCATACAGTGTCATAAACCACACAAGTGAGTCTATTAGAGATACTGAATAACTCCACACGGTTTGAGGCGAGTCTGTAGTGATTTAAGGCTGCAGTTAGCACCATGCTAATTTGTGGGGTATAGGTTTTCATTATGTGTTAGCAGAGTGGAGAGAGCGGTACTCCTGTACTTGGGTTGAGTCAGGAAGAAACACTCTGGGTAAAATAATCCACCATTTTTCAAAATTTCTTCATAATTCAGAGGTTGAGATGTAAACAGAGTCATTCAGAGGGGTTTGGTGTGAAATGGTTCAGAGTTCTTTACAGTGGTGGTGATAGGAACCAGGG